CCCACCCTCTATCTAACCTCACACACACCCTCAGACGAAGTGCTCGCAACGGCAATGAGTATACATCTTTTGAAAACAGGCGAGGGGTTATTGCATGCATGTATGTCTAGTTGTAATGTTGGCTTGGAAGTGTTCCTGGCCTCAGAATGTTTGGCGAACTCCATTCAAGCACAGACCATAAATATATCATATATTTTTAAAACACTTCGATGTCATCTTGTTTTATTTCAGCCCTGCTTTCGCACATTTCATAACTTTTTTCTTGTCCTGGTTTGTCCAGTCCTGGATTGAGATCAGTTTTTCTAATCTGCGCGTGCGCATTAAGTGTTTTGTGGTCACGCGCATGCGTATTTGCAACACAACAATGGCGGTACACGGATTTCAAAATTCGAAGAAGCCTGTACTTTCGAGAGGTTGTACTTCAATTTGTGCAACTATTTCGCTTGGGGGGGAAGTGGATTCCAAATATGTAAGTTGTAATCTATCCATTCATGTAAAAATTATGTAGTTACACGAGGGGTGCTACGGAATTGAACATTTTCGACCCTCATCCAACGGCCTATCCGTGGAGTGTCTTGTTTTCTTTCTAAAACTCTCGCCTCCGTTCATAGTATAAATTATTTTTATCATTTTTGACACCAGGATTATAGGATTATACAGAAGGTTTTTTGTAAGTTTGTTTAGAGACGGACAATTAAACTGCCCGAGACGTAAAATAAAAAAGTATTGGAAAAACCCTTCCGTACTGTAGTGTTGTAGACACACCCCTCATAATTGACATATTATGAAACAGTAAGAGCTAGGGAATGGATTTGTTATTGCATGCAATGTAGTCAGTGGGAAAAAATTTAACACGTACACATCTACAGAGTCAAAAAGAATTAAGATAATTTACGTTTTCAACTGGTTTGATAAGCTGAATTTTATCGTTTGAAACGCCAAATTCTGAAACGCCCTGCAACGTCAAATATTTGTATCTGCGTCAATATTGTACGGAAAATTAAATGTTATATATCATTATCTTAGTTGGCCTTTCTGAATGCAATGAAACTTATTTCAGTGCAAGATCTTTTATAGCTTTTACGCTAGAGGAAATCAAACAGTGTATAGTTTTTTGGGACACCAGGTATTTCACGTGACCAAATCACGTGATAGCTTTTATTATTCCCGTGTTGTGATTGCATAGGCTTACGGGGGAATAAAAACTTACCCGACTTTGTTGCTCAAAACAATTATTCTCTGCAAAACTTCCAAACTTCTTGTCGACGGGGCGGGGATTTCAAAGGGCTTAAAATTGGCCTCGCTACATATTTATTGCGTTTTCGACTATTATCTTACATATTTGCCTAATTTCAAAGATGGAAAGATGGAAAGAAAACTTGGATAAGATGACAAAACATAGAGGACGTGTTTATAAAGGAACATACTGGACTCGATTATTAACTGTGATTTTTGTTCTAGAAACCACGTACCACTACTCAAGGAGCATTTACATGCGATATTAATGAACTGAAACCAAATGATCGTTTCATTGTCATTTTCGAATTTCGCCTGTGGACCGCAACTCTTGCTGGGGTAAGATAGCTATGATTAATTTTTTGTTTTTGTTTTTTTTGTGTTGTGCATTCAGATGAAGATATATGTTTGTGACGTTGCCTCTGAGTTCCCCACCGGAAACATCTTTCTGTTTGCTTGACCGCAGTTGGAATCGAACCCACGACATTTGGTTTCCCAGCCCAATTTTCTACCAAACGATCTACGAGATCAAGTCCGTTCGAGTGAGTGATATATCGGAACTACATTGAATTCTATCTGTGATGAAATATATCCACGATAAAATATATATATCATGAAATATATCTACGAAGCACTATTAAATAGTGAAGTCTTGAATTTCTACCAAGAACTACTTCCTACCAATACCTTCTTCCTACCAAGACCTTCTTCCTACCAAGATCTTCTTCCTACCAAGACCTTCTTCCTACCAAGACCTTCTTCCTACCAAGACCTTCTTCCTACCAAGACCTTCTTCCTACCAAGATCTTCTTCCTACCAAGACCTTCTTCCTACTAAGATCTTCATCCTACCAAGACCTTCTTCCTACTAAGACCTTCCTACCAAATCCTCCTTACCAAGACTTTCTTCCTACCAAGACCTTCCTACCAAGACCTTTCTCCTGTTAAGACCTTCTCCCTACTAATACTTTCTTCCTACCAAGATCTTCTTCCTACCAAGATCTTCTTCCTACCAAGACCTTCTACCTACCAAGAACTACTTCCCACCAAGACCTTCTTCCTACCAAGAACTTCTTACCGCCAAGACCTTCTTCCCACCAAGACCAACTCCCTACCAAGACCTACTTCCTACCAAGACCTTCTTACCGCCAAGAACTTCTTCCTACCAAGACCTTCTTCCTACCAAGACTTCTTCCTATCAAGACCTTCTTCCCACCAAGACCTTCTTCCTACTAAGACCTTCGCCCTACCAAGATCTTCATCCTACCAAGACCTTCTTCCTACCCAGACCTTCCTACTAAGACCTTCTCCCTACCAAGACCTTCTTCCTACCAAGACCTTCCTACCAAGACCTTTCTACCATGACCTTCTTCCTACCAAACCTTCTTCCTACCAAGACCCAGTACGATGTTTATGTCGTTTAGAAATCTACCATACCAGGAGTATTTCGAAATTGCTCTTTTTTATTTCTCTTACACAGCAAGGAATAACTTTATGAATTGCATAATTATTAGTTATACTACTTTAATACAGAAAGTATTAAATGATGACTAATTCGTTGACTGCTGGAAATGTTTTGCAAATTTAACTGCGGTAAATGCTGTTTTAGACATAATATTATTTTTTTGTTTTGCAGTACTATGCAAAAGATCTTCTTGTGGAAATAGAAGCCAACGCCGAGTACATGGACTCTCTTAATGACAATTCAATGACACAAGTGACACGAGCATTAGGCGTGGTAAGTTGCCGTTGACATATTGTGCGCATTTTGTCCAGGGGCGACGCTAACTCTCTTCGAGTGTGGGGGTGTGAGTGATCTTTTGCCGACTGTTTGGTAATTTTGCCGAGTCATTAGCCTATAGTAAATGTGCATGTTTAAATGCGCTTTGTTACCCTCTATTAAGCCGGTTTTCCACTAGCGAATTTTTCCGCGCGAAGCGACCTTTTCCTTTGTCGGCATCCAATTTGCCACGTCTTGCTGACGTAATAAGTAATACCGACAAAGGAAAAAGGTCGCTTCGCGCGAGAAAATTCGCTAGTCGAAAACCGACTTTATTGCCTCTTTTATAGAACAGTAATAAGCAACAACAACAACAACAACAACAACAGCAACAGCAACAACAACCAAACAAATTTAATTACCTAATTACGATTCCAATAATATTATGTTTTTGGACTGAAAGAATTGGCCGTTTGCTGCGTCCCGATAATACCATGCCCACTATAAGACCGGTATATTGCGTTTTTTTGTCTTATTACTCGTAATTGCGTAATAAGTGTTCAAGTTGCATGGGCAGGTTGGACAGGTAAAAACGGTTCTGAGGTTTATCATAATTGCAAAATGTATGCAATGCACATGTTATATTCCTGGTGAATTAAGCACATGGCATAGACCAGCAACAAGGTAATAAGGTAATAAGCATGCAAGGGAATAAGCACACATAAGCGAGCAATAAGGTAACAAGGTAATAAGGTAATAAGCATGCAAGGGAATAAGCACACATAAGCAAGCAATAAGGTAACAAGGTAATAAGGTAATAAGCATGCAAAGGAATAAGCACACATAAGCAAGCAATAAGGTAACAAGGTAATAAGGTAATAAGCATGCAAGGGAATAAGCACACATAAGCAAGCAATAAGGTAATAGGGTAATAAGGTAATAAGCATGCAAGGGAACAAGCACACATAAGCAAGCAATAAGGTAATAAGGTAATAAGGTAATAAGCATGCAAAGGAACAAGCACACATAAGCAAGCAATAAGGTAATAGGGTAATAAGGTAATAAGCATGCAAGGGAATAAGCACACATAAGCAAGCAATAAGGTAACAAGGTAATAAGGTAAAAAGCATGCAAAGGAATAAGCACACATAAGCAAGCAATAAGGTAATAGGGTAATAAGGTAATAAGCATGCAAGGGAATAAGCACACATAAACAAGCAACAAGGTAATAGGGTAATAAGGTAATAAGCATGCAAGGGAATAAGCACACATAAGCAAGCAATAAGGTAGCAAGGTAATAAGGTAATAAGCATACAAAGGAACAAGCACACATAAGCAAGCAATAAGGTAATAGGGTAATAAGGTAATAAGCATGCAAG